AGTTAGGGACCATTTAAAGGAGATGAGAGATTGTGGTGCCATTAGGGAATCTCACAGCCCCTATGCATCTCCGATAGTTTTAGTTAGGAAGAAAGATGGCAGTTTAAGGTTTTGCGTAGACTACCGTAAACTCAATAATCTGACGGTTAAGGATAGCTATTCTTTGCCGAGAATTGAGGATACGCTCGACGCCCTTCACGGAGCAGTGTGGTTTTCTTCGTTAGATTAGAAATCAGGATACTGGCAAATCGAAGTCGACGAAAATGACAAGGCTAAAACCGCATTTACTACCCCTCTTGGCTTCTACGAATGCAACCGTATGCCGTTTGGGTTAACAAATGCGCCTGCTACTTTACAGCGCTTGATGGAACGTTGTCTTGGAGAGCTAAATTTTAAATCCTGCCTTATTTATTTAGATGATGTAATTGTATTCTCTAAGACTGTTGACGAGCACTTAGTTAGGTTAAATTCTGTCTTCCAAAAGTTGCATGAATATGGTCTCAAATTAAAACCATCCAAATGTAACTTATTTCAGAGAAGAGTGAAATACTTAGGCCATGTTATTTCCGAAAATGGTATCGAGACAGACCCTGACAAAATTTCATCCCTCACGACATGGCCCATTCCCACTAACAGTAAGGAGATTAGATCATTCCTTGGTTTCGCCGGTTACTATCGCCGCTTTGTCAAGGATTACTCCAAAATCACTCGCCCCCATTATGCATTGACAGGTGGTTCTCCTAGCCCTAAACATAAATCTAAATCTCGTAATGTACCCAAGCAAAATTTTGTATGGACTAATGAGTGTCAGGAATCGTTTGACACCCTCTTTAGAGCACTTTCTTCTTCTCCCGTTCTTGCTTATGCCGATTTTTCCAAACCTTTTATTTTGCATACTGACGCTAGTTTAGACGGACTCGGCGCTGCGCTATATCAAGAGCGAGATGGCCATGAGCGCGTAATCGCGTACGCAAGTAGAGGCTTATCAGGAAGCGAAAGAAATTACCCGGCCCACAAATTAGAATTTCTAGCGTTAAAGTGGGCCATCACCAAGAAATTTTATGATTATTTGTATGGTAGGCACTTTACTGTGAAAACAGACAACAACCCCCTTACTTATGTGGCTACCACAGCAAAATTAGATGCTACGTCCCACAGGTGGTTAGCAGCCCTGTCATGTTATCCGTTTTCTATCAGCTATCGTGCCGGTAAGCATAACGCTGACGCCGATGGTTTGTCTAGAAGACCCTTCCCCTCTAAGGATTCC